CCCCCCTACATGCCCCCTCCGATTGCCCCCCGCCCGCTCCAAATAAATGGTGTCTGCACGCTCTCTCTGGCTCCAGCACTGGGCAGCCCCCAGCCGGCCTCACATGGGGAGGGAGGGGGGTGAATTAAACCCCTCTCCACCATCCCCGTGGGCGTTTGATCCGGAGAGATGCTCGGCATTTTCCCCGCGTGCTCCTGCCTAATCCCATGGCAGAGCCAGCTGGCACTGGGATGGATGGGAAACCTGGGGGCCTGCTGTGGGGGATGCCGGACCCAAAGGGCATCAAAGCACCCTGGGGCCAAGTGGAGTCATGGCAAGCGTGTGTGGCAGTACTGAGGTCACCAGTGACTTGGGGCATTTGGGATGCAGGAGGAACTTGGGAAAGAAAAGAGGGAGCATGGTAATGAGCATCCTTCGCAGGCAGGGGCTGCAGGGCTCAGCGTGGTCTGCTCCTGCACCTGGCTCTGGTTATGGCCATGTCTGGGGTGTAGGCAGAAGGGGGGTGCCCAGAGGCCTGAGTCAGTGAGCAAATGCTGCGCTAAGCATGGGGAAACAGGACTGCAAGAGCCTTCAGGCTGGCTAAGTCCAAGCTGGAGCAGTCAGGGGCAGTGGGACAGGGTCTGCAGCAGCAGCAGGGATGGACGCCACTCCCTCCCTTCATCTGGCACACTGCCGCTCCCTGCCTTTCCCTCTCCAGACACTTTTATGGCTGGTGAAATGTTATTGCTGGTGAAACGTGAGTGCTGGCAAGGCTCAGAGCAGCAGCAGCCACTGCTGGGGAGAGGCATGGGAAACCTCTTGTGGTTGGAGACTATGGGTCAGGATGTGGCAGCCAGATGGGGAAAGCGCCTCTGGGTCAATCCCGAGGTGGGCACGGGCTGATCCCTCCCAGTAAACTGGCTTTGAGATGGCTTTCTGTGATCACTGGGACCTGCCCTGGGGCAGCCAAGCTGCAGGAGGAGCAGGCAGGGGAACGGAGAGGTGAGCCCAGTGCCTGGACATCCAATGCACTGCCTGCATCAAGCTCCCTCCTCTGCCACTGCTTCCCAGCATGGTCTTGGGGACGTTTTTGACACTGTCACATGCCTGGGTGTCCCACAGACTTGCCTTCCCTTTGGGATGTGTCTGTAGGCAGCTGCTGTGGGGGGCAGCTAGGCTTCCTGGGATTAATGGCAGGCCCTGGGAGAAGCTTGGAACAAGCTCCGCAAGGAACGAAATCCCTTTGTCAGTTTGACTGGCTCCTGGTGTCTGGGAGGGAAGGGAGCTTCAGCACCAAATGGGGTGAGAGATTTGCCTACAGCTGGAGGATTCATGGGTCATCCCTTGGGTGTTCCTCCAGGCAGGGGAAGGGTGAGTGAGACCAGACCTCTCCAGGGATTCCTAGGATGGGGAATCCACTCTGCTCACGGAGCAGATTTGTGAGGGATTCATCTCGCTTTCAGCAGCATCTGCATGAGCCACGAGTCCAGCTGGCATGGCCATTGCCCAGGTCACCACCATCCCTTCCACACAGCATCACCCAGAGCTGCTACCTGTGCTGGAGGAGCCCCGGGAGACAGTGACGCTCTCTAGACCCTCTAATACATGCAATCTTTGAAGCCGTAACCATAGGATGTTCTTACAGACCAGATTGTGCCCTAAGCCATTCCCTAAGCCTTGCTGGCCCTGAGGAAGACAAGACCACACTCAGAGAGGACTGACACCCTCTCAAGCCTCCTCAGGTTCCCCTGGGGTACACTTGGCCAGGCGCTGGCTGCAATGGGCATCACCCCAGCATTTCTCTTGGGATTCTTTGCTCACAGAGGTGAGATGGGAGCCCTGCACAGGGACAGAGTGCAGGCCAGCGGCTGCTCACTGCTGGTGCCTCCCAATGAAGGAGAAGGAAGGGAACAAAAGGCAGATGCCCTTTCCATCCTCCCTATGCAGTGATGCCCTGGGTGTACATCGAGGGAGCATAGATGGGTGCTGCCTGCCTGCCTGCACAGAAGGCTGTGACAGGGGCACAGCTTTTGGGGTGACTGTGCATGGCTTTGGGGGTGTCTGTGCTCCTGAGCCCACTGTGGGCACTGCCAGGAGGTTCCTGAGCACTCCAGGACAGGGGATCTCTGTAGGGTCAGGCACCCAGAAGAGCATGGGGTTGAGGGCAGCGGACAGGACCTCAGGGTGGCTCTGGGCTGGGTAGGGTCTCCTGCCTGCAGTGAGTCCTCTTCCAACTCAGCACTCTTCCCGGGGTTTCTGCTCTGCTCCAGCACCCCCAGGTCTGCCCTGCCCTTACACCTGCACCCCTCCACTCCAGACAAATTTTCCAGTCCATTTCCCTGGTGCCTCATAATACTGGGAGCAGGGAATAGGGACAGACCCTCCCCGGGATGTTGAGGGTGACAAAGTGGGATGTGGAGGGGCAGACCCTCGGGATGCAGCAGGCGTTCCTGCAGGATGGAGGGAGCAGACCCCCGGGATGGAGGATATACCCCGGGATGGAGGAGGCAGCACCAGGGTGGGGGCGGTGGTGGACAGACCCCTGGGATGGAAAGGACAGCACCGGGGG